GCCTTCAGCTTTCGGTTTTGATTCTTGGGTGGAGGTGAGGAAGAGCGGTGACTTTGCCTCTTACAATTCATATGTAATAAGACGTGTTTTCATCAACTGTTAATATATGATCACTTGAACGGTCGATCAGCCTGGTTAAACGGGCAGTAGAACTCGAGTATAAGATGAAGTTGAGTTTTGGTCGGGCTCGGTTTCACGACATACTTATGCCATAGACAAGTGCGATGCATGGGAAGATCATAAAGGAGCTGAGTACATGAGTGCAAAGGAAATTCTCCAGAGGCTCCATTTACTCTGCGTCGACGACGGTTGTTTGGAGGCCCTAATTGTCACAAATCAGCGAAAAAAATTGCATGGGAAGGAAAGGATATGCCTGCCTTGAAAGAGGTTACTTCAACATGGCTAGCATACGTGTAGAGCTTCTCTTTTGCGTTCTCTTCGTCGTTACGTTTGCCTGAGATGCGTATAAGGCAAACCGACCGACAGGGCTTACAGAGGAGATACTCACGCTCCAATTTTACGCGTATCCGATGTGGAACAGTTTTGATGCCCTGTGCCCATAGAGCCTGGTTAAGCTTAGGGTCGAGCCGAATGTCCTTGGTGCCCATTGATTTCCTGGCGAACTCGACCACGGATTTAACGGCCCATGGGGCACGCTTTTTGAATGAGCGACCATGCACGAGCTTGTGCAAATGGATCGTGTACTCCCGCGTTACGACGTCTTCGAGAGCAGAGCGCTTGCCGGTCTGGATGAAGTGATCACGGTCAATTCGATAGATCATTCCAGGTCATCATATTGACAAACTTTGCCGCCTTTTGTTCTGGCCTGTGGGACGTGTGAGAACGGGAGGGAACGAGAGCGAGTTACGTACCATGTCTTGAGGATGTCGATGTCGGTGCGTGGACAGACTGGTCAAGTGTGCTGCTCCTCGCTTTGGTTGTGTTTGCGTTGTGGCGGGCAGTGCAGGATAAGGTTTGTGGCTGGTATCACGATACAGTTATTCGGCAATTACCGTTACCGAAATGTTCCTGCTTTTGGAAATGGTTTCCTATCGCCAATATTTGCTGGTGAACCTTCGGGTTCTTGATTAATCTCACTCATCCTATAGAGAACTATGCATCCCGACTACGACTGGGTGCACATGCCGCGAGTAATATGACGTACGAATCTCGGACGGCAGGCGGGGGGTCTGGCAAGTATAAAGGTGGGAGTTGGCAGGGAGCCTCATACCAACAGTTGCCTCTTTGTCATTACAATGCGCGCGCTCCGCAGGTCCTTCTTTGCCTTTCTTGCTCTCATTGCACGTCAGAGCCATCCCAGAACGTTTCCATACCCATCATGAACCGTCGTTTAGACTACGCTGCCCCACGCTTGACCAATGCGATGATACTTGGTTGCGCAAAATCAAGCATTCATTGGCTCGACTACCGCTTGCATAGCCTTATCCTGCTCCGGCAGTGGCCTGCAGAATGCTGAAGGGCCTTCTCTGCTTCGCAGTCGTGAAGTAGTATTCTGCGATGTCAATGCTACAGTCGACTCCCTCCTAACGCATACCCCATATAACGCATACTCCCTTATAACCCATAGCTTTTTCAATTTCCCGAGTCCGTTTGCAGGCCAT